ATTCTACTCTACTCTACTCTACTCTACTCTACTCTACTCTACTCTACTCTACTCTACTCTACTCTACTCTACTCTACTCTACTCTACTCTACTCTACTTTTTATCCCAAGAAGGTCCACTATAGTGTATACTATCCCAGGGATTTCATTCTCCATAGCAACTGTGAGTGCTCTGTAGCAGCCCATGCCCTTAAGTATGATAAAAAATATTCAATTTGCCAACTCCTGCAACCTAGTTCCCTAGCTAAACTAACTATACTCTGATGAGGCTTATATATGAAGCAGACCATTTTCTATTCAATAATAATACTGATTTTTCTTCTCTATTTTTGTTTTATGATTTTGAATACGGATAACACTCATGTTTGAATGGGGTAACTATATAAATAAATAATTTCTAAATATATAAATAATAGCTGAAGGTGCCTGTATTTTGTTCACAATTAGATTTTTTTAAAAAAAAAAACAAAAGTGTGGACATAGTAGCCTTTAATATTCTAATCATGTCAATCTGTGAGCTACAGAGATTTGGTTGATTTATTATGTGCCATCAAGTCAATGCCTAGTAATTTGTGCCTAGAATGGGAACTCAAGATTGATTTGTTCTATGATTTATTTGTTTGTTTTCTTGGCTGTCCATGATGTTCTCAAGACATCTTCTCCAACACCATAATTCAAGTGCATCAATACTCTTCCTAACCTGCTTCTTCAAATTCTGTCAGGACCAAGCCGAAAGACAGCACATTGAGATCCAAATGAGTCTAGATCTTTATATTTGCTTACACTTAATAGACAGAATCTTACCAGGCTAAAGCTATAACTTTCTAATATAATAGATATACCCCGGGAGATACGCTCTCAGTGATTCTAGGCAGCTTATAAGGATACAAATCCAATATTCAAACATAGAAAGCTAATGCCCCCTATCCCTGTCTTGATTTCAATTCGATTCCAATAGCTGTTTCATGCAAATTGGCTCATTAAGTATTAGCACATTTTGCAACTCAAAGTAGCACACACAAACAAATGTACACTATTTTAGTTATAGAATCTAATACAGAAATTTGCCCTCGAGGTCTATCTAAGTTGAAATTGCTTATTTACAACATAGTATTAAGTGGAGTCATACTGTTTGCTCAGGCCCTATATAGATAGTCTTTAACTTATGACCACAGTTAGGACTGGACTTTGGTTGCTAATCTATGTGGTCATAAAGTGAGTTATCATGTATTGATTAGCAATGCAATCCTAGCAATTCCTATTGCTGTCATTAAGTAAATTCTGCTGGTCATTGCCGAAGACCCACTGCAGCCAAATCTAGGATTAATCTATCATCATCCCCAACCTCAATAAAACATGGCATTGCTTCCTGCTCCCCCCACCTATCTTCCCCTCCCTCCCAGGAGTTATTTGCAAAGGGAGTTTTGGTGTGTTCTCAGTGATTTATTTTCCCTTGTTTATTTTCTTTTTTGCAACACAAAGCCAGTCCCAGCCTAGCCTACAAGTGTGCTGTACTGCAGTTCAGGGACTCCTTCCTTCCTTCCTTCCTTCCTTCCTTCCTTCCTTCCTTCCTTCCTTCCTTCCTTCCTTTCTTTCTTTTCATGAAACCAGCCTCATACCAGCAGCCAAGCTAGATATGCCTTGTCAGCAGTGGGATCAAGAGGACAGGAAGATACTTTGGAAAAGCAGAGCCCAGGAGGCCAAAAGGTTATAGCTGGGAAGAGTGGGTGGGTGGAGATATGTGGGAATTGCAGTATCGCTGTGGTTATAAGTACATGTGGGCTGCCAACTGCCTGAATTTTGATCACATGAGTGCAGGGAGGCTACAACAGCCATAACCTCAGTCAAAGCTTGTAAGTCACTTTGTTTAACACCGTTGAATGATCGCTGAACAAATAGTAATAAGCCAAGGACTATCTGTATAATGCAGTCTACCTGTTCATTTCACAAATCAGTGCTGGCTGTCCATCCTATCTTAACTAGTTGTTTTTTTTTAAATTAAAGAACGATGTAATTTAGAATTAGTTTTTAAGGTTAAACAATGTGCGTAGTGATGGTGGAAACTAAAAAACAAACAAACAAAAAGCAACCCAGGGAAAAAACTCTGAACATTTGAAAAAAAAAAGAGCCACCCAAAATTCAGGTGCAGAGAGAGAGACGGGGGGGGGGGGACAGGGGGGAGAAGAGAAACCAAAAGGGGCAATCAGCATTCAGTACAGAATTTTTTTCAAATGATATTACTATTGGGAGATGCAATGCTAGGATATTTGGGGGTTCCATGCTGAAGGATAGGTCAATGCTCAGTTTCTAGAAAAACTTTCCATGGTCAGTAGTCTTATTCTTGAGAGAAATGTATTATATTTAGGATGGAAAAAATGTCATTTAAGACAAGGCCAGAGCAAAAAGAGGACCAAGTGAAGTATCACACCAATTTCATGCAGATAAGATCTATATTCTATCTACTATGCATTGAAAGAGGAAAACGGGGTTTCAATTATGAACATTCTGTATAGGTACAATTTAAGTAAACCTGTCCCAAAGGAGCTTTTTCAAGAGGCAATTCGACTTTCTGGTTTTTCTTTGAAGATGTTTCGCTTCTTATCCAAGAAGCTTCTTCAGACTTGGATGGGGGCAGTGGAGGGGGGAGGCATCTTTGAGACAGCCATGACCTGGATGACTGAGAATCTCCATAGACTTTCTCCAACCTGTCTTTTCCAAAAGTTTTTTGACCAAAAATATGTTTTTTGTTTGTTTGTGGTGTCTTTGGTTTGCTTGTACAAACAACAGTAATAAAAACTAGGTCACACCCTAAGCATCTGATGATTGAGGGACTTCTTCTTTCTTAGAAACTGTTATATTTGATCATTTGCCTTGCTAGCTTTTGCTGCCAAATGATACAAAGTTGTTTTTTCCATGAATTATTTTGCTCAAGTTCTGCTGGAAAGACAGATTTATAAGTTATTTTATCTCATGCTTTGCTTCCCGTTCTTTATTTTAAAAGTTATACGTAAATTTCCTCTTAAAAAGGGTTGGGAAATACTCCTATAGTCGATCTTGCTTTCAGAAATCACACAAAAGGACCGTGGTAAAAGTGTTTGACTTTGTCATCATTGCAGATTTGGTACAGATGAGCTGAAGAAAGAATTTCTTGCTCCAACAATAGCTGGAGATGTTGTGGCTTGCATAGGAGTAAGTGAATCTGGGGCAGGTTCAGATGTTGCAAGTAAGTATAACTCAGTATAAAATTTACAATTTACATTTACAACGGATTATTGACTATTTATTTTACAAATTTATGTGGCTATTTATTTAGCATACACATTAAGAACTCTTAAGTGGTGAGCAAGAATAAAACCATAATAGGTTAAGGTAAAGTTCCCCTCAGGGAACCCTAGGGGACAGTGCTCATCTCCATTTCAAAGTTGAAGAGTCAGTGTTGTCCGAAGACTTCTCCATGGTCATGTGGCCAACATGACTAAACGCCAAAGGCTCATGGTACACTTATCTTCCCACCAAAGATAGTTCCTATTTTTCTACTTGCCTTTTTTACGTGCTTTCAAACTGCTAGGTTGGCAGAAGTTGGGACAAGTAATGGGAGCTCACTCCATTACGTAGCACTAGGGATTTGAGCCCCCAAATTGCCAACCTTTCTTATTGATAAGCTCAGTGTCTTAGACACTGAGCCACCTTAGAAAACCATAATAGATTGAATTATACATTTTAAATCAAACAAAAAAAATATGTATTTTACTATCACTGTACCACAATTCTCATTTAATTACAATTACTTAAACATGTTTTTTATCTAAAATCATTTGTATTTAAAGATGCAGCCACCTATGGACATTCATTCGCAGTTTCAATAAACCTCCAATAACATTACACCTTTATGACATATTCTGAAACAAATTCAGTTAGTAAAATATATAAGCATTTCCCCCTTTCCCCCCCAACTCACAGTTTAAAGCTTATATCAATTTGCTTTTACTAGTACAACACACACACACACACACACACACACACACACAAAATTAAACATTATCCATTAACATGTCCTTGTTATTATTGTAGTTGACTAAAAATTATTTACTATTTATATCATCTCTCCTCTCATCAAACCCAAAAGGAATTATACCTTTATAGCAAGCTCTAAACAAAAATTTATTAATAAAATTTATAGGACTTTTCCCTAAGTCCCAAATTATAATTTATATCCAAGTTATTTTTTACTAATTAAGGTTATCATTTCATTATTATTATAGTTAATTATATGTTAACAAATGAACTTTTGCTTAAAGGACTAATTTATCTTTTTTTTAAAGTTTTTTTGGGCAATCTTTCTCAAAGTAAAAAAAACCTCACCCGATGGACTCACTTTCACTTCCTTCCTTCCACACCCATCTCCAACTTTGTCAGCCTAGGGGCTGCCTGTTTGCCGGCGGCTTGAAGCACTTCCCTTGGGTCAATCAGGGACTTTGCGGTGTCCCTGAGACCAGCAAGGCTTTGTCTTCCTGTTCACCGTCTCTCTGGGACGGTTTAGGTCCTGCTGGACCGACCAGCAGCAAAAGTGTGAATGGCGGTCTCGGACTGTCAAGACCGCACGTTGTATTGTTGCAACGTTGGCTCCTCCTTAAATCTGAACTGATCAACAGCAGGTAGGGAAAGATGCCTTGTTTTATTACAATTTGATTGAATTTGCGTGCTAGTATTAATTTTCCTCCTATGGAGTCCTTGGTGTTCTCTGAGATTACAGATGTTTTATTATTAGACAACCTACGGACGATTCAGTAAAGTTGTATCTAGTCTTGTAACAAAACATCTGTGAGCAAACAACCAAACTCAGAGAGCACCAAGGACTTGATAGTTCAATCCTGAACTACAGATATTATCTCCCCACTAACTTAAATAGCTAGGAAATTCCAATATGCTATTAAATAAAGCCACTTTTATTTTCTCTTCTTAGACATCCCTCATTTTAGTAATCTATAGGGTTTATCGTTTCCACCTTAACAACGATTAAAATCAAACAATTAAGATAACACTTTCCCATCTTTCTTTATGGACCACAATTCCCTTAAATATTTGTGGAACTTCAGAACTAATGTCTCTTTGTGAAGCAGTGAAAATATAATGATGATTATTGTCTGCATTAAGACCAATATTTAGTGAATAAAAATAGGGCAATAGGGAGAAATAAAGCATTAAAGGGTTCAAAGGAGGTTGGAGTAGGCAAAAGAACCACTACCTTGAATTGACTAATTGCCCTGAATTGGTGTCAGGTAATTTCAAATATCTCTATGTTCATAAGATAAATTTAAAAAACTGGGTGAGTGTGTGTGAGAGAGAGGGGGGACAGGAAGAGAGAGAGAGAGGGAGAGATTGAGATTCATTTTAAAGGTTAAATCCATCTTTTCCAATGTATATAAAATACATCTATAAAATACATTGGTGGTACTTGTGTTAAGAACAGCAATTGAATTTGGGAATGATATAAATGGCATAAAGCATGCCATCATATGATTTCACTGCTTAGTGAGAACAATCCTAACACTTCTAGTTGTTGTCAACTAAGAAGGGTGAGCCGTGGTGGCGCAGTGGTTAAAATGCAATATTGCAGGCTAATTCTGCTGACTGCCATTGCTATTGTTATTACTAACTGGAAAGCAGCAGGGGTCATGGGCCTGCTGCAGAATGTGTGGGATGCAGGCTCATGAGGGAAGCCCTGAGAAGCCTGGGAGAGGCTGTGTGCAACATGGGGGAAACCAGAAGAGGGCTTGGCAGGCAAGGCAGAAGCTGCAGACAAACGCAAGAATGCTGGGGAGTGGATGGCACTGCAGGATGTGAGAACAGAAAAGGTGCAGAATGGGTGGTGCAGAGGGAGCACAAATGTAGGGACACTGGGGATGGGGGGGAATCTTTAGAGCAACCTATGATCCTCACGGCTAGCTTCCACTTTGACTTTGCTTGTGGAAATGGCTCACATTTACCTGTAACTGTGACAAATGTGAGCCATTTCCAAGTGCCAGCCAGTTGCCAAATGCATGTGGCAAGTCAGAAGGGATTGCAATCACATGACCATAGAACACTGCAATTTCATAAATGGGAGCCAGTTGCCAAGTACTCCAATCTGAATCACAGGACCATTGGGGCACTATGACAGCCGGAACTTTAAGGACCATTCATAAAGACTGCTCACTGCACCATCATCACTTCGTGTAATTGGACTCTTCACATTGCATAACATTTTTTCCCCTTGTTTGCATAGGCATCAAGACCAAAGCTGTAAGAAAAGGTGACGACTATGTGATAAATGGTAGCAAAATGTGGATCACTTCTGGAATTCAGGCAGACTGGATGTGCCTCTTGGCAAACACAAATGATGGACCACCCCACAAAAATAAATCTCTTCTATGTCTGCCAATGAAATTGCCAGGTAACAAAGTTAAGATAAAATGATCTCAGACAAAAAAAAAAAGTAATATCCAAACGTATAACTTATAAATTAGAGGAGTGGAAGTTCTTTTTAACCTCATAAATCATCCTGAGAAATTCATCTAAATAATGACAGTCTTTTTAAAGCAAAATAGTGTTGGCTGTTAGAATTTGAAAAATGTATATTGCGATTCTGCTTTTCTTAGACTACACAAAATCTTCAAATAGCTGCCAGGCTTTCCAAATTAGAAACAGAATTTTTAATTGGAGTTTTACAGTTTTTGGTGTGGGGTTTTTTTTTTTTTTTTTTTGCTATCATAAAAGTTGAAGCAACCAAGAAAATAAGTACTTAAAATTGAAAAAGCCTCAACAACAACTTGATATAATTGATAGTCAAACTTATGGCATAATTATGTTTTTGTGTGCTACAAAATTATTGCATTACTACTTCTTTGTTAATTGAGATATCAGTAATTAGAACAGAGTCAAGAAAGAAAAAGAAATTAGGAGGAACAGAAGTATTTCATAGATTACTACTCCTGTTTCATGCATTTTGCACTCTCATTAGTTGTAGTCTGCTGTAGGAACAGATAAATTAGAAGGTGCTGTTGATTATAAAATACTACTTGTAAAAATATCACTGGAAATATCCAAGCAAAAACTGATTAAGGGTATCGCTTGCAAAATTCCAGATGTCATATGATTGATTGATATTAGGGCATTTTGAAATTGTAATCTCTGTTTTCATTATAATTTTATTATTATTCCTAACATGCTGTTATTTTTTTCTTCCCCCTTTCAGGGTGGTTGGACACTGGGTTTACATCTTCATTTAACTAGTTTTCATTATTGCAGCTGTCTTTATACACCAAATTACCGCTGATCCCATCAGTTTGCATGAATAGTTAGGTTGCTTGGCACCATTGTGTGTGTCATGTCATTCCAGAGGTGATATTCAGCAGGTTCAGCAGTTTGAGAACCTGTAAATACTACCTCTCACTGGTCCCGCCCCATCTATTCTCTGTCTCACGAATCCCAGCTGATCAGGAGAAAATGGAGATTTTACAGTGTCCTTCCTCTGTCATGCCCACCAAGCCACACCCACCAAACCACACCCACAGAACCGGTAGTAAAAAAATTTGAATCCCACCACTGCTTCATACTTGCTCATGTAGAATGACTGTTAATCTGCAGAGATTGTTATTAAATTCTTTTTAATTTATTATGGTTTTTACATCACTCTGAACAATTTAGTGTTTTCACCAACTTCACTCCCCAAAAATAAGACAGGGTCCTATTTTCTTTTGACTCCCCCAAATATGGCACAAGACTCTGCTTCAGTTTCTGAAAACTGGGGCCTCCGAATGAGTGAGCGAGGCTGGCTGGCTGTGATGGCTTGAACTCAGTGGGGCTCATCAGAGAGAGAGAGACAGAGAGACAGAGAGGGAGAGAGAGAGAGAGAGAGAGAGAGAGAGAGAAGGACAGAAGAGGAAGGCGAAGAAAGTGGAGAGAGGGCGCAGCTTAATGGAATATTTGATATTCTGTAAGGCACATTTCTTGGCATTTTCCTCCTTTTCTTTTCTTTGCAAAAAGCAGAGCCGCGCTAGCTGGACAGAGCGGAAATGAGGCGGGTGGGATGCTTGGGATGGGAGTTGGGGGAGGAGACTGCTGAAGAAAAAGAGGGAAGGGGGGCTATGACTCCCCTCCTTGTTTAACCTCCAAGCTTCCCTACTCGTGCAGCCTCCTCCTTCTCCTTTCCTCCCTCTCTCCCTCCATGGCAGCAGCACTTTCCAAAAGGTGCCGGAAGGAAAGGAAAGGGTTAGCCACTTTGGCAGCCACACTGAGCAGGCCCTTTCAGCCTTTTGGGCATGCTTAACAAAAAGGTAGAAAGGCAGCCTAGCTGCCAAAAGGAGGCACCATACCCACTGGGCGTGGGCTTTGCCAGGTGGGGTCTCGAGAAGTTTAGGGGCCACATGGAGAGGGCGAGAGAGATAAAGGGGTGAGTGGGGGTGGGTAGCAGGGTTGTTGGGTTTCCTTTGCTGGACTTCTTCTGCATGAGCACTGGGTGACATGTAATGGGGTGGGAAGTGTCGCTTCTCTGGAGCCAACTTTTGTGGGCAGGTTTCCTCCCACACTTCTCCCACCTAGAGGAAGTGGAAGGCAACCAAGAGGCTGTGCCCACCTGAACTCCACTGCCAAGTTGTTGCAACCATCCAACACGGGGATGAAGGAGACCTGGGTGCAAAACGTGACACATTTAAACCCATGAAAAAAAAAACCCACAACACTTTCCTTTCTCTTCACTCACGCCCCCCCCCCACTCACCCTGCATTATCCCTACCTTTCAGATTTGGCGAAATTCCGAAAATCCTGCTGTCTCTCATCATGCATGCGTTTAAATAGATTTGTGGGGGGGGGCGGTATTTTAACCCACGTGCTGAAGAGCCCAATTGGGCTTAGTATCAGGACATGTCATATTTTCAGGGAAACATAGTATTCTCAGTCAATTCTTTTATAAACATTTTACAAATCATATTTTAATATTTTAAAAGGCATCATTCCTAGAACAGAACCTGGGGGATCCCACTAGTTATATGCTCCATTGTGAGAAATACCCATTTATTCCTCCATATTGTTTTATATAATTTATCTTGATGCTTATACACAAGAAAACCTACCCTTTTATTCCATGGTTCTTAAACTCACTGAGAAATATTTGATAAAGTGTGTTATCAAACTTTTTTTAAAAAAAATCCTTAGTAGATAATGTCTACTGGCTCATCCTTATTACATGTTTATTAATACCTTAAAAATATTCATGTAGATTAATTGGACTTCCCTTTGTGAGCATGTTGGCTATCTGTCAGCAAGGAGTATGTCTCAAGGATAACTGTCAAGTTTTTTCCACACTAAAAACCAGTGGTGAAATTTAATTTTTTTGCCCTGTGGGCTTGGCTTGGTGGGAGGCCATGTGACTGGGTAGGCGTGGCCAACTTTTTTTCACTTTTTAAAACATTTTTTCCCCACTGGTTCAGGTGAATAGGCAGGAAAAAATGCTTTTAAAAGTGAGGGGGAAAGCTTCCGATGATCACACTGTGTAGCTGTGAGCCGCATGATTGTTGGAAGCTTCCCCCCTACTTTCTAAAGCATTTTTCTCTGTCTATCCACCCAAACCAGCAGGGAAAAAATGCTTTAAAAAGTAAAAAAAAAATGTTTCCAATGATTGCGCGGCTCACAGCTGATCTGTGTGATCGTCGGAACCATTTCGCTCCACTTTTTAAAGCATTTTTTACTACTGGTTTGGGCAAATAGGTAGTAAAAATGCTTTAAAAAGTGAAACAAAGAGGATCCAACAATTGTGCAGGTCACAGCTGAGCCATGTGATTGTTGGAAGCTTTTTTTTACTACTGGTTCATAGAACCAGGAACAATAATCTGTACCGTTTTGGCCGAACCAGGCTGAACTGGGAGGATTTCATCCCTGCTAAGTACCCAGATGAATATCACTCAGAAACACCATTAATAATGAAGAAATTATGAAGTCAGTTTTCTCACTATATCTGGGCACCAAACCTAGTGAAGGAAGAAAGGTTAATGATACTATAGTCCCATTTAAATGGGAAAGTTTTATAGCTGCTTGGACGTTGATAAACCCACTTTGGGAGATTTCATGAAAACTAGTCCTCGGAATCTTGAATGTGTTATTAAGTTCAATATAAGGGTAGTTGTTTCTAACAAGTGGGAGTTCAACTAATATATGAAGAACAAAAGCACAATTGAGAATGTTCTGTATCTAAAAAAGAACTAATACTAGGTACCACTCAATCTTAATTGCGCTCTGTTTGTAGTTAAAAATATAAATAAAATTTTTGGATTAATGAAGTTACTTAAAAACAATCAAAGGATTATATTATTAAAAATGTTTCTAAGGTTACTGATGAGTAATTCTAAAGAAAGAAATAAGACTGAAACGTCTTTCAAATAAATTGCCCTGATAAAGCTATGAGTGATTTTTCCAACATAATGACCACACCACTTTTATTGACAATTAAAAAAAATAAGTTGCTGTAATACTGGGTAATGGAGCAGTCCCCTTTGGTCTTAGTAAAGCCAGTAATTCTGATATATATCATTAGTATACGTCATTCCAGTGCAGAAGATTGGGACAATTGCCAATGAAGAGTTGGTGAAACCAAGTTTGTGGGCTTCTTAATTTATTAGTGATTAAGATTTGATAAAACTGTTTGTACTAATTTTAAAAAATAGGTAGAGCAGATACTGCCCATGTTGCTAATATTCCCCTAATAGTGTATATCAGGAATCCCCAAACCCTGGACATGGACTGGCACTGGTGTGCAGAAAAACCTTTCTCCAAAAACCTGATCCCCGAAAGTTTGGGATCTGCTGCAGTGTTGGGTTTCTACCAGTTTGGACCTGTTCGGCTGAACTGTTAGGTCTGACTGCAAGCTGAGATCAAACCGGTTTTCTTTTTCCATGAAAGTGGGCCCTCCTGCCCACCCCCAGGTTATACAGACCTTTATTTCTACTTCCAAAGCCCAGCTGATCAGTGGTGGCAGATTGAATTGCTGACCCTCAGCTGTTTTGTTTGCTCCTTTCATGGTTTGCAATGTGGAAGTTCACATGAAGCGAACCGGTTGTTCAACTGGTTGGAATCCACCCCTGGTTCACTGATGTATATAATCTAGGAAATACCACTTAAACCTATTATTTATCATCTTTAAGAAGGAGCATCCATCTCTCTCATAGAAGAACTCTTGGCAGTGTACAATAAAATATTAAAAACACGAAAACAATACATAAAATGTAAAAGAGGCAAAGAATGTTTAAAAAAATAAGAGGTGGAAAGAGAGCTTTCAGGGCACTAATCAGCCCCATGGTTGTGTGTTCCTCTGCACACCCTGAGCAAGGCCATAGAACTATAAACATTCATGGAAGGCCAAGAGACTGGGTGCCCACCTCACCTCAGGCAGAAAATGTTCCACATTCCAGGAACAATGGCAGAGAAGGTTTTCCTCCTGGACCTTGCCAGTTGGAATTCTTTGGTTGACAGAACCTGCAACACACCTGCCATGTTTCATGGGTGGAATGGGCTGATATAGCAACATGAAGACAGTTTCATAAGTAACATGGCCCTGAGCCATGTAGGGCTTTAAAGAGCATAGCTAACATCTTGAATTGGACCCAGAAGCAAACTAGTACCCAATGCAACTCATGCAACTACATGCACTATTCTTTGGGTGACCCCAAAAATAGTGGGATTGTGTACCAGTGAAATTTCTGGATACTTTCAAGAGTAGCCACATGTAGAGCGCATTGCAGTAGTCTTAACTACTGGAGAGGACCAGAACATGAATCACCAATAGAGAGCCTCCCTTTAAGGGAAAGGATGTTACTGGCACACAAGTGATGTGGAACAAAGGCCCTCTTAGTGGCCATGAGTTGGACCTCTCACTTTCTATCAACACAAATTGAGATCAACTTCTAAAAGAGGTGAACCAGCACAGAACCATGCTTCCCTAAGCTGGCCCAGAAGACTATTTTTTTACTTTGCTTTACTTTACTTTGTTTTGCTTCACTTCGCTTCGTTATTATTATTTTATTTATTATTTTATTTATTATTTTATTTTATTTTCCTATCTTACCACAGGATAATTCTGGCTGGTTTACAATATTAAAAGGATCAACTATATAAAACATTTAAGTAAAATATTATAAAAATATAAATTCTCTACCCTGTCAAAGCTATCATAATCAATAGTATTAAACACCACTGAGAGATACACGACCTCCATTCCGTCCCACCAGGGAGTATTCATGAAGTACCAATGCTGTTCGGGCCCATGTCTGGATCCAAATAATTGGCTTTTTCCCCAGGAAGTTTGTCCAAAAATACTTGATATGCATTATTCAGGGATTCTCACCTGGATTTGTTTAAACTAAAAAAAAGTAAATAATCTTCACAAGCTGCAGATGATTTATTCAAATGTTCTCAATATGAAATAGCTTATGTTCCTGTTAAGTGATGATCATATGCAAAGTGATCAGATTTTATACACTTATCACAATGATCTGGTTTTCAGCAATGACCTTTTTCAACACCTTTTTTTGGAAAGAAAAAAAAATAAAGTTGTGATTCATAGAATGACGTTATGACCCCAGGGCTTTAGGCTGCCCACAAGTAGAGGCCTAGAAAATGACCAAAGTATTTTCAACTTTTAAGAAGGGCCCGTGGGGAGATCCAGGAAATTATAGGCCTGTCCATTCAAAAACTACTAGTAAGACAAAATTACCAAGTATCTGAGACTTGGACTTTGTTCAAGAATGAACAAGCTAGTCTTAAAATGCTTAGAAGACAATAAAATATATTGGAAGAAGTGGCATGATTCTAAGAAAGGAGAATATTTTTAGCTCAGGGTTGAAATGAGTGATCCTTTATGCTTTCTTAATTTGCTTGTTGTCTTGTAGGTGTTTTATTACCAAACTAGTAACATCATCACATGACACGATTCTCCTGAATAAAATATACTCTGCCAGCAGTTACTTATCCTTGATAGAGCAATCTCTTGTCTATTTAGAGAAGGAAGGCTGAGTTTATTTAGAGCATGGATGTCAAATTCACGATGTCATGTTGCCATCATGTGATGTTGGCGTGACATTTTTCCCCTTCATAGAGCTGGGTTGGGCGTGGCCTGCATGTAAATACATATGGCCCATGAGCTGCCAGTTTGACACCTCTGGTTTAGAGCTGTTTTGCTCTAAATATTTGCCAAGTTTTTGACTTTTCAGAATACAGCATTTATCTGTGCTGTATTTCTCCTTTCTTTTTTCTTCAAATTTGTAAATTCATTGACACAGATGGAACTTACTTAGACTATCCAGTCAAAAGTCCCTGATTCTTTCAGGAAGGTTTTCCTCTCATTTGGAATTAGAATCTTGTTCAAGTGACAGCACTTTATGAAAAGTCTCTAATTACATACTGAACAGTGGTGGGTTTCAATTTTTTTTAGAACCTCTTCTGTAGGTGTGGCCTGCTTTATGGGAGTGGCCATGTGACTGGGTGGGAGTGGCTTGCTGGCTATGTGAGGGGGTGGGCGTGGCCAACTTGTAAAATGTGGTGAAAGTCACTTAACAACACTCTTGCTTAGCAACCAAAATGTTGGCTCAGAAACTCTGGCATTTGACGCACACAAGTCTTAAAGCTGTCAAGTTACAAGACCCTTGCACCCTTAACCCTTTAAAAAAAAAAACCAGGGGTGTTCAAACTTGGTAGCTTTAAGACTTGTGGACTTCAACTCCCAGAATTCCTCCTCTCACTCTTCATCTTGATGATGTGCGGACGGGTGGGGGGAGGGAGCTGGAACCGGTTCTATGTGGCACTGTAGATTTGTGGAACCTCTTCTATAGAAGAGGTTAGAACTGGCAGGAACCCACCCCTGATACTGAAGCACCACAGTATATTGTGAACAAATGGCAGTCAGAATACTATTCCTCGTGTAAATAAAGGATACTATTGAATGACATTCTTGACAAGGCAGTCAACAAACTAATTGTTTTTGAGGGGTTGTTTCATTGTTCAGGAAAAGAATAGGCATATTCCATAGTAAAAACAGCAACCATTCATGTTTATTTATTTATCAAATATAAAGATTGCCCATTCAGTCCCAGAGTGATTCTTTATTTTTCATCTTCCTCAAAATCAAAAAGGATATTTTTTTTTCAGGCTTGTGACTAGAATATCTATTAACAATTTTTTGTATTCATTTTCTTATTAACAGTGATAGCCCCCTCCCCACAAATGGGAGAATTAATTTTACTAACACTAACATTTACTAACATTTTTTAAAGATGAATTTTAATAGTTAAAAAAGAAGACATAATCTAATTGTCATTGAATGTCTCACATATGCAATTTATATTACTCATTTGTACTAATCACTTAGTACAAATCATCATCTATAATCACACATTTTCAGGTATTCACATTGCTAAGAAAATCGATAAGCTTGGTATGAGATCATCTGACACAGCGGAAATCTTCTTTGAAAATGTCAAAATTCCCAGAAAATACCTCATTGGAGAAGAAGGAATGGGATTTAATTACCAGATGTTGCAGTTCCAAGAAGAACGAATGATTGGAGTAGCACTTAGTAAGTAATAAGCCACACTGTCTAGCTACTAAGATTGTTTTTTCTTACAAAATAATGTGGAAAGTTGATTTTGGCAGTAAAATATAGCAACCCTCTCAATTACGAATTTGGAATCCAAATTTTTGTTGAAGACAATATTGTATGCATTTCCATAGCTGCAGATTCCTTTCATATACAAATCTGTCAAAAAGCATTTGTTCCCATTAAGTTTGGATATTTTTGCCACTAAATGTTATCAAAACTTTTATGTATCTCTTTGTTGTATAACAGTTTCTGACGAAAAACACCAAACATTTATTATTTTATAAAGCAAGTTGTCTATTTTGATTTGTTTTGGGATATTGAGCAGAATACAATTTTAATAAAAAAAAGTTTTTTAAAAAAAATACAATTATCGGTAAAAAAAATTACAATAGTTGTTTGAATGCTTCATTAAACAATCAGGATTAATTTGAGGCAGCTCTTCCCTATATCTATTACACAAAGATTGGTCCTCTTTATCACAGAGAAGTGCTTCCCCAGAGAACATGACAATCTCCATAATAAAGTCATTGATGTTTATCTGTCTGGATGATTTATACGGCTATGTGGAAATTATTCTAAAGTTAGAAAAATAATCCTGTAGTAGTGAAAGTTTGGAACAATAGAGAAACTTCTAGTTTCAGCTTTTTAAAAACAGCAAAGTCACAAAAATTGATTCTGGACAGATCAAGAAAACCAAGCATGTTATGAGATTCCTGGAAATTTTATCCTGTATTCATGAAAATAATAGTCACTGTTTGAAGTTGAATCACCTGGATAACCTTCCAGAACCTTCTCAGGTGTTATGATGTCTGGTAGAAACCAAACAATTACAGATTGGTTTTAATTAATCAAATAAATTAATTCCAAATCTTGTATCAGTCATCAATCAGGCCTGGGGCAGCTGACTCCAAAATGAGGTCCAGCTCCATCTAGGACTGAGTGAATGGTGTGTTGTTTTTAAATCTATCTTTTCTTTTCCCTATATTTTAGTTTTTGACTTTATTTTTGTATTTGTAAGCCGCCTGGAGTCCTACGGGATTGGGCGGCATATAAATTTTATTAAATTCAAATTCAATGAGGGGACAGGTTCACAGTTTGGAGATGCTCTTTGGTCTCAGGATCTGGGCTACTTGCTATTGTACAAAACATGCCATACAATTCTGCAGATTATCAAGTCGTATCTCTTGAAACTGAATCACAGATGGGTCTTGAACCAAAGTAGTGTTGCCAAATAAACAAGCAGATCTGTGAGAGAATGGATGAAGATCTAAGTCTGCATTTAGATACTCTAAAAGATGCATTTAGATACTGTAAATGATGCATTTAGATACTCTGAATGATGATGTGATGGTGAATCTGTGGCACACGTGCCAGAGGTAGCACGCAGCGCCTTCTCTAGTGGCAGTGCCCTCTCTAATGGCATGTGAGCTGTCAGCCCAGTTCAGCTCCACCGCGCATGTATGTGCGTGCCTCCTACGAGCCAGCTGGTCTTTGGGTCTCTGCTGCACATGTGAGGGTGGGGCACATGCGGATCATGCATGCATGCATGGGGGGCGCACACACCTCCTGCTCGCCACCTCACTTTCGGGTTTCTGCCACACATGAGTGGGGGGCATGCACACATGCTTGGGGCGGGGCGCATGCATGGGAGGGACATATTGCATTTTGAGAGTTCAGGCGCACACACACTTTGGGCACTCTGACCAGAAAAGGTTAGCTATCACTGCTTTAGACTTAAAAGTTGAAATATTGTAGCAAGTCTTGAAGTAGCAAGTTAGAAAAAATGTCAAATTTTGCTGAGCAAAGCAATGTGCTATGAAACACCCAAAATTCCTGCATAATTGTTAGGAAGAATTACTGCAGTTCAGGATGGTGCAACCACATACTGAATTTTAAGGAAGTTGATGACCATACACATTGCATATTATCCATGAAACAAAGAGTTTCAGTTTACTCACTTTAACTACTGTTACTCACTTTAATTCTCTTTTAAGTAACAGTAATATCCATGGGAAACTCTTGATGATGGTTATGGCAAAGATACACAAATATTCAAAAAAATCTGAAGGGAGAGAGGGAGGGGAAGGGAGACAAGACAATCTTCAGTGGAAAGGAATTAAAGGAATTAATAAATTCATTTTTATCTTTTATTACATCACATTTTTAGCACTGACGGGTCTAGAAATCCTGATAAAAGAAACTATTGATTATACTTCTCAACGGAAAGCATTTGGCCAGCCAATACTTCACAATCAAGTAGTGCATTTTCGCCTGGCTGAACTAGCCACTGAAGTGGAGCTCCTTCGTGCATTGCTCCATGAGGCAGTAGGTAAGTGCAATAAAAATTTATTTCCAATAATCTAATAAAAGATACATTATTATTTTTTGATAGATATGGTTAACTTAATAGGCAAGTTTATATTTTTATTTTAGGTCTCTACATACGCGGTAATGAAGTGACCAAACTTGCATCCATGGCCAAGTTAAAATGTGGTCGCCTATGTCGAGAAGTTCCAGATAGCTGTCTCCAGTTCTGGGGAGGAATGGGGTACACTAATGAAGTGCTAGTGAGTAGAATGTTCAGGTGAGAAGGATTAACCTTTAAGTCTATGTGGGTGTACCTGCATAAGTGTGTAACATCACAAGCGTTCAAATTATTAATCAGGTATTCATATTTTGCAGTACAGGTTTCTTCTTAAATTCCCCACACCTCATGTTTAAGCTCAAATCCACCCCCACCCCATAAAAAAACCATACTAATACACAGAGAAAACAGCTGAAGAGGAATAGTACATTTTTATTTCTGTCATTGACCAACAACATTTACATTCAATGTAAAAATTAAACTATGCAGTTAATGCCAATAGCCAAACTTAAGTACAATAAGAAAGATGAGTTGGAAATCCAGCCTTTTGGGCAACAAGAACTATTGTTTCAAAACAATGAATATATATTCAGTATATGTATGTTTGTATATACACATGTAATACACGTATATATGCATGCGCGGGCACACAAACAGTGCGCGCACACACACTCACACCTGGAATACTGCGTCCAGTTTGGGTCAGCACAACACAAAAAGATATTGATACCCTAGAAACGATGCAGAGAAGAGCAACAAAATGATAAGTGATCTGAAGGCTAAATCACACAATGAACTGTTGAGAGAACTAGGTATGCCGAGGTGGAAAATCATTAAAGAGAGATGCAACCTAGAACTAAGGAGAGAACAGTGATAACAATTAATCAGTGGAAAGTCTTACCTCTGAAAGTTGTGGCTGCTCCATCACTAGAGATTTTCAAAAGAGACTGGACAGCCATTTGTCCAGAATGTTATAGGTTCACCTTCTTGATCAGGAGGTTGGACTGGAAGACCTCCAAGGTTCCTCCTTATGTAGAACATAGAATAACAGGATTGTTATTCTATGTTCTAAATATATGAGGTCTGAAATTCTTGCATAGTCCTATTTTATTCTTCCTGATCACATTGAAAGCAGCTTTTTTCAGAATGTAACATTTTATTCAGTGATTAAAAAGTATCCTAATCTATAATTCTACAGGGAGTCCTTGGTTAATGACCAATTCATTCAGCATCTTTTCAAAATTGCAATTGCACTGAACAATTGGTAGATATCCCTTAACAACCGTTCATTTAATGACTGTTCGAAGGAAGTTACAACGGCACTGAAAAGAGACTTACAACCATTTTTCTCACTTACGAACATTACAGCATCCCATGGTCACATGATTTACACTCGGATGCTTGCCAGTTGCAGTATCTCTGGGTCATGTGATTCTCTTTTGTGACCTTCTGACAAGCCAAGCCAATGGGGAAACCAAATTCACTTAACAACCATGTTACTAATTTAATAACTGCAATGATTCACTTAACAAACATGGTATGAAAAGTTGTAAAATGGAGCAAAACTGACTTAGCAAATTCCTTAGTTAGGAATATAAATTCTGGGCACAATTATGGTCATAGAGGGCTACCTTTTCTTGTATTTATGGATAATCCTTAGCATTCCAGCTGTTCCAACATCGCACAATCACATGATCCAACAGATCACAAATGGTGATCATGTGATGTCCTCACTTAATGACCCACAGTGTTTTACTTAACAATGGCAAATGGGACTGCCAGAATTGCTGTCACTAAGCAGTGTGACCACATCATTCTTTATATTTGTGGTGCTTAATTATGATAATTCCAGTCCCAATTGCTTTTGTAAACCAAGGACTACACATACTCATGCCAAAATGGAATTGAAATAACTCCCCTCCCCCCAAGGAATTAGGAACCTTTTCTGAGAGGGGACCTGACTGGAATTCTGAGAAATGTTTATATGATGCATTTGTGTGTGTGTGTGTGTGTGTGTGTGTGTGTGTGTGTGTATGTATATAAGTGTGTGTATGTGTGTGTATATATATATGTGTGTGTGTGTGTGTGTGTATATATATATGTGTGTGTATGGGTTTTTTTTGCGCTTATAAATAAAGGGATATTTATCAGTACAAATTAAAAAAAACACAAATATAACAAAGGCAACAGTAAAAATATTGGGTTTCTGTTGTGATGGACTCTTGCGACGAGCCGATTGACAGATGATGGAAGCAGTTAGCTTCCTCCCATAATTGGGGCTTACCAGGGGTTGTGACTCTAAATATATACATATATATACACACACATATTTATGTGTGTATATATTCCTCCCTCCCCATATATATATATATATGTGTGTGTGTGTGTGTGTGTGTGTGTGTGTGTGTGTGTGTGTGTGTGTAGGTAGGTAGGTAGGTAGGTAGGTAGGGAGGGAGGGAGGGAGGGAGGGAGGGAGATGGGCATCAGAACAATTCTGTGGAAAGCTATGACTCCCACAACAATCAAAATTTTGGGGATTAACGGAAGATTAAACCCTACTGTGATTCAAAATCGTGGTCAGACTAGAGTAGAAATTTTGTTTCCCAATTGATGACTGTTCAGCTTGACAACATAGAAATGTTGGCAAGATTTCCCTAGTAGACTTTGGGTGCTATATATGCAGTCACACTCAGTCATACTTGCCAAGGATTGTTAAGATTGCTGACCGGAACTAAAATGTTATACTTACAAATCTAATACATTTTAAGTGATGATGATAATTAGTATATTAAAACAGCTTCAATTCACGTTGACTTAAACAAGTACTTTTTAAACAATATCAAGTTTAATATTAATAGTTTTTAAGTGAAAGGGGAAGCAGAACGGACAATTTCATTTTATTGATACTTTGTTTTGCCTTTTCTATATGTCAGAGATTACAGATTGACATCAATAGGAGGCGGTGCTGATGAAATCATGCTGTCCATTATATGCAAATACATGGGTATCTTGCCCCAAAAGTAAGTTTTGTGACTATACGTCTTTAATAATCTGTATTAGCTTTTTTATGTAGGTTCAATAAATATATCCAAAAGAATGACAAAATTACTAATTTTCATAATGATCTTTTTGCTTGTAAATTATATTTAGACTTAGGAGATAGCATATATAAGGCTACTAAAATGTGCAGATTTGTAAGATGTTTTCCAAGAACCACTGATAACTTAGTATTTGGATATGAAGCAGAAAAAGCAATTCTGATCTGATGTGGTTATACTTACACTATCTTTCTGGGGCACCTGAAAGAAGCTGCATTTTTCCCGCTGATCTCATGCATAGTGAGCACATCCAGACCAGATCTGAATCTCCTTTCCTGTTTTGAATGTGTGAATGCCTGCACATTCATACCAGTGGTGGGTTCCGGATCCCGTTGCAATCAGTACGGTTGCAACAGGATCTAGCGTCCACCACATGAACACATGCAGCGCACGCATGCGTCCTTCCTCTTGCAACACCTCCGTTACACTCCAGCTGCTCGGCGGAGCATCGCACAGGTGCCGTGCGTGCCATGCACGTGCATGGAAGTGCCGAAGACCTCAAATACAGGTAAGGAGCTCAGGGGGGTGGGTGGGCCCTTTGGAGCACTGTACCGGAAACATATCCGGTGCTCTGGGCAGGCAGCAGTACTCCCCTACTGGGACGTACCGCCTGCAACCCACCACTGATTCATACTTAGAATATTTTTCCGGGTGTTTTTTAATTACTAAAAAAGGAATCCATCTATCATTTGCTTCTGAATGACCTAAGGTAGTAATGTAATGTAAAAAAAATGTAATGTCCTGACTGTCCTAGAATTCTTATCTCACCTATTTCATAATCAACGTCTTCAAATATTAACCAGAGCTCTGTCACACCTACCAGTTATATAATTATTCCATGCATCTCATAGATATTAACATATGCATTATTATTGCATATCTTAATATATACCATACAATTATGTTAATCTATATAATTACTGAAATGTATTCTTTGTTCAATTCTGTTGGTAACAATTGAACAATATATAGCATGCATTCTAAATGTATTTATAATATAATATATTATGTATCAAATCTACCATTATCTTTTCAAAAGATGTGGAAAAAATCCACCTGTAGTTGACTATTTAGTTTAATTGAATATTGTGCCAGAAAAAGAATGAGTGCATCGGTATACATCAAGTTTTAGTTAGCTTACATAACATAGAAATTTTTATCTTTATTTTACATTGTTAGAATTTTATGTCATCTATTATCCAAATTAAATGCAGAGAGACTAAAGACGGTAAGAAAGAAAGAAAAATCACACTATGCACAGCTAATTTGAGGAATTCAGTGCCAGAAGTGGTTATAACAGCAAGCAATTTGGATAGCTTTCAAAGAGAACCGAATGGGTTCATTCAAAATCAAGCTACCAATGATTGCTAGCACTGAAGGTTTTTACTACTCCCTGGATTATTGGCTGCATACTCAAATATAGGTTATTGGGAAGTAACTGTGAAAGGGAATCATCTTCCTCCAGCTGAATTTTATGAGATTAGCAAATTCAGGTATAATTTCAATATAGTATCAGTTGCCTTGTAGTTAGATACAGAGAATCTATTTTAAATTGAAGCATTAATCTTTATTATCTTATTTTCTAGGAACCAAACAGGATAAGCCCTGGAATTTTGAAAACTATAGAAGACAATTATGGAGAAAAAAAATCTTAACCTCAGTCAGCCTAATTATATTCTTTAAATTGTTTAAAGTTTTAATGTTAACAACTTTAATTTTTCATTTTTCTTTCATTTTTATTATTGTAAGTTGCCTAAAGTAGCCTCAAAGCAAGGCAAACAGCAAATAAATTTAATTAATAAATAATACTGAGAGGAAATGGGTTGACTGGAAAAAGGAAACATCCCTATTGTATGTCCCTATATTTTTAAATCATAAATATGTATGGTCTATATAAGCCTGACTATTAGCAAAAAAATCAAAGATATTCCTCAGTATTTTGATTATATAATAAAATAGGATATATTTTTTGTAATTGAAGCATTTATATGATTGGAATAAATTACAAATCATGAATTGTTCTATTGTATTTTAAATATATATATTGAAAAATGGATGGAAAGTATCATAGCTGTTGAAATGACCAATTGTGTTGGTGACTAGAATTCTCCCTTTAGCACTTTTAATGGGATCCTAGCTACATAGTGACTGGATTTGCATTATCAAACTTCTCAAAACAGATGCTGAAGATTCTCAGTGGAGATTTGGCCAGCATCTAACTTTCTGAATGCAAAAGAAGCTTACTACACTTAGAAAAAGTGTAAAAAAAACTCATAGTCATTTTGTTAATATGTAGGTCTATTATATCTAGCAAGTTAATATGTTGAGTGGGGGATCCACTATTATATCTTCTAATTCCAAATCTTAAATTTGGAGTTGTGTGTTAAAAACAAACTTCTATGAAACTAGCAAAAACAGTATAAAGTATTTAATATGGAGAATTAAATATAGACTAATCCAAATCAAATTTGACTATTGGCATCTGGTTAGATCAGTGGTTCCCAAACTTGGCAACTTTAAGACTTGTGGACTTCAACTCCCAGAATTCTCCAGCCAGCAGTTGGGAGTTGAAGTCCACAAGTCTTAAAGTTGCCAAGTTTGGGAACCACTGGGTTAGATAAATCCACTAACTTTTCCTGGAAACATTTCAGAATTGGTTTGCCAAGGCCTTCTTTCTAGGGCTGAAAGTTAGTGATTGGATTAAAATCAACCAGCTGCTTACCATGTGTAAAATAAAGCTAAAAGTCAGATTCCCCCACTATTCCAACACCTTAAACCAGGGCTGTCAAACTCCCGGCTCACAGGCCAGATGTGTCACACGCCGGCCATGCCCACGCCCGGTTTAGCAAATGGGGGAAAAGTCCAATATGTCAAATGACGCTGCCATGACAATGTGAATTTGACACCCCTACCTTAACCACTGAATTTTAAAAGCTGTGGTGATACAATGGTTGAAATACAGTATTGCCCACATTTGAGCCAAGAATTTGATCCTAACCAGTTCAAGACTGACTCAGCCTTTCATCCTTCCAAGGTTGGTAAAATGAGGACTGTTGGGGGCCAGTATGCTGATATTTGTAAACCTCTGAGAAAGTATTGTATAACACAATGGAGCGGTATATAAGTCTTAAGTACTGTTGCTATTGCTGTTGAATTGCAAGGTAAAAGAGATTTATTGAAACTTCTGCTGTGAAGAAATCTTTATGAACTAGGTATTCCTTAAACAGACAGAACATTTTTTTTGAAGAATAAAAACAGGTTCTATTCTCATGTTCAAAATTTATATCTCTTCTAGGAAGTTTATAAACGTCACCCATATTTTAAATGTCATATACTGTCAGATTTTATATTCAGGAAGATAATACTCCTGCCAAATTAAACAGTGACATTGCTACCAGGGATATACCAATATCTAATAAAACAGATCATTTATTTAATGGGGATTTAATATTTGTGGATCCCTTTCATCTTTTAATTAAAGGGACCTCTAACTCCTAAATTCCTTATTTCACCCCCCAAAAAAAACAAAAGAAAACCCTACCTGTTTCATTATTACATTAGACGAAACCTCAAACAGTATAACAGCAAATTGTGTGACTGTTTGCCCACCTAGAATAATGCACAAACTGCCTACTCTTAAGATAGTATAGTAAAATTAAAACTACCAATTCCTGTCTATTAACCCTAAACATAATAGTAATCCAATCCTAGCAGACATGTTGGCAAAGAACCATGTTGATTGTGAACAATCTTTTCTTTTCCCTCACAACAACTGCCATATTTTTCGGACTATAAGATGCACTGAGATTTTGAAGAGGTAAATTTAAAAAAAAAAACATTTTTGCCTCCCTGGAGCCCAGAAGCACTCTGCAGACCTCCCAAACCCTCTGTACGCCCCATATGGGGGCAAGGGAGGGCAAAAACATGATGTGTCAGGGATTTTGGAGGCGAAAAATGGGCCTGTTTTTTGTGAAACAGTCCTGTTTTTCACAAAAATGTTGTGTGCAGAGGGTTTGGGATGCTTATAGTGTGCTCCTAGGGGCTGGGGAGGGCAAAAATGACCCATTTTTTGAGAAAACAAATCATTTTTTGCAAAAAACAGGGCCTGCAGAGAGTTTGGAAGGCCTATAGAATGCTCCTGGGGGCTTGGGAGGGCAAAAGTACTCCTGTTTTCACTCATTTGTGCCTCCCCAGCCCCCCAGGAGCACTTTGCAGGCCTCCCAAAACTTCTGCATCTCCATTTTTGTGAAAAACGGGATGTACAGGATAGGGTTTGGGAAGGCCAAAAATGCTGTATTCGGTGTAAAAGACGCACCCATTTTTGGGGTGGAAAAAGTGCGTCTTATACTCCAAAAGTATGGTATATCTCAAGGATATTATATAGTTTAAAGTAAATAATTGCAAACCAAATTTAGAACATGATTAAATATTTTACTAAAACAATAGCCCTTCAATTGACTTAGCTTTGAAAAGAAGTATTTTGGCTTTTAAAAATGTTCGATAAATTTATACAAAATTACTAAATTATTTTTATTACTAGGAAAAAATGAAACTATTATATAGAGTAATTTCTGAATAGGAAAATGTCTGTTTCAGTAATGGAACTCATCCTTAGTAAACTTAGTAAATTCAGTTCAGGAAACTCTATAAAATAAGGGATTTAAAAAATGGCAAAGATTCTGGCTTGATAAGCATTTTAGAATTACAGAAGAAATTCAAATGCATTAATCCTAAATCCAGTTACAAAAATTATTTATCAATTTTCTCAAAAAAGCTTTCAAGATGGTTTGAATAATCTCATAATGGAGATCTGCATCACCTTAGTTTAATAAACCAATAAATCACGAAAAAAACAAACAATGAGAACAGCATCATGTAGCATAACAGTTTTGTCTGGCTTCCTCTGGAGAGGATTTTCAGTCTGCCCATTGTTGAACCAAGGAATCCACTTGTTGTATCAAAATCATTGTCCTGTTGTTAAAAACATGTAGAATTATTTTACTGTTTGTATATTACCTATTAACTTTTAATACATAAAGACAGATCTTTAAATTAGCTGTACTCTCTCTGCTCATGGATCAGCAAGGTATACTATATACAATGTTTTTCAACATTGAGAGCCATGTTGGCTCAGTAGTTAGGACACCCCTCCCCCCAGCTGCCTGTTTTTGGCCTCCACTGCCTCCTGCAGCACTCTGCTGGCCAAAAACAGGCCACACAAGGCCTCTGGTGGACCGTTTTTGGCCAGCAAAGTGTTGCAAGAGAAACGGATTGTACTGGATTACAATTATGTGGCCTCAAGTAAGTGCCTAGTCTGGATAGAAAACAAGCAACATCCTATGTTAATACTAGAGTTTAATTCCAGATTTTACATACTGTCCATTTAACCTACAGTCAGTAATCTAAAATTGACAGCCATTTCTATTTACTATCGTGGAAATTAACCTCTGCTGTTAGATTGTATTGTCATGTGATTTATGCTATTGTATTTTTATTATTAGTTGAATAATAAAAATAAAATAATATAAATAGCTTTTCTGGCTGGAAAAGCAATTTATTATTAAACAATGGGGTATAAATGTAGAAATAAAAAGTTTAGTGGAGAATGAAGAATAATAATTTAATAATAAATGTTTGCCAGTAGAAGAGGTAGGAAAATGGTTATAGTAAAGAACTGTGGAAAGGAGAAAAAAACGCGTCTTGAGCCTGTGTCAAACAACCACCCTGGCCACGCCTATCCCAGCCACACACCCACCAGCCCTCCAAAGTCAAACACAACCCTGATGAAGCCCTCAATGAAATTGAGTTTGACACCCCTGCTCCAGCAGTTCAATCCTGACCGGCTGAAGGTTGACTCATCCTTCCAAGGTCAGTAAAACAAAGCCCCAGCATATTTTCAGCATATTGTTGGGCGCAATATGCTGACTCTGTAAACCACTTAGAGAGGGCTGTAAAGCACAATGAAGTGGTATATAAGTCTAAGTGCTATTGGTATTTTACAATGGAAAGACTTCAACTCCCTGAATTCAAGCCCCAGCTTCCCATGCATTAGAACATTTTTTTCCTCAACTTGGGCTCTCTTCAGATGTGTGAACTTCCAACTTTCAGAATTACCTAAATCATCTTGAATATTGCTGAAGACATACGTTCAGGCATCCAAGCAGAACAGGTAGTCCTTGAGCTACAACCATTCAATGAGTGACCACTAGAAGTTACAATGGCACTGAAAAAAGTGACTTACGACTGTTTTCCCACAACTGTTGTAGCATCCCCATTGTCACATGATGAAAATTTGGGCACCTGATAACGTGCATATATTTATGACAGCTGCATTTATGACAGGCTCATCAAAATATCATGACTTGTAAACTTTCCAGCTAGCATCCGCCAAACAAAATTAATGGGGGAAGCAAGATTAATTTAACAATTGCATGATTCACTTACAACAGCAGTGGTCTGCTTCACTGGTATAACATTTTATGGTTTAAAAACATAAAATGGGGCATAACTCACTTTAACTGTCTTGCTTAGTGAAGAAAATTCTGGGCTCTGTTACGGTCGTAAGGTGAAAACCATAATGCAGAAAGCTATGTCAGAGTTTTAACCAGAGTACTGAGTTCAAATTATCACTTGGCCATAATCCTTACTGGATTTATTTAGGCCTTTTATTGTTTTTTTGGTATAATGTTGTTTATTAAATTGTGAAAATACTGCTTGAACCTTAGAGAGAAAATGAGATATAAATATTTAATTTATACCTCATTTTCTCTCTAAGGTTCAAGCAGTATTTTCCTTTGTTTCATTTTAAAATACTAAATTTAAATAGTGAAAGTTATGCAAAATGTTTTTAAAAATTAAACTGTTTTCACTTATGCAGAAATAATTATACTTCAATGTCTACTTTCTCTTCCCCAAAATGGTGATAGTGGATATTTTTGCCTTTTTAGAAAATTTACCATGAATCTAATCTCATTTATTTTAAAATCCATATGCAAAATCTGGATTTTTATGAAAAAAATAACTTTGCAATTATTTATATAAAAATCTATTCTGTAGAAAAATGCAAAATTTTATAACATTTATTTTATTTATTATTTGATTTCTATAGACACCCATCTCTATGCTCAGAACCTATAATATTTTAAAATATATCACTTTTGATGTTATGTATAGGGCTAAATAATCTAAACTTATATATAAAAGAAACCTATTGAAATAACAAACCGAAATCATTACAGGTAGTTCTTGACCTACAACCACAATTGAGCCTAAAATGCCTGTTGTTAAGTGATACATTGCTTAAGTGAATTTTGCCCATTTTATGACCTTTTTTTGCCACAGTTGTGGCAAAAAATCACTGCAGTTGACAAGTTAGTAACCCAGCTGCTTAATCTGCCTTACCCATTAACTTTGCTTGTCAAAAGGTTACAGAAGGAGATCACATGACATTGGGACAAAGCAACAGGTTTCAGGTCTCAGGTTTCATTTTATTTATATGCCGCCCTATTCCCAACGGGACTCAGGGCGGCTCACAAACCCAAGAGGGGAAGGGAAACACAAGAACTACAAATACAAGCCTTTAAAATAACCAACAGACACACAATCGATAGGGGAAGGGAACTCATCAACCCCAGGCTTTAACGGCTTTTCGGAAGGCCTGGAGAGAGGTGAGAATCTCTGCGGGGAGTTTGTTCCAAAGGGCCGGCGCTGCCACAGAGAAGGCCCTCCCCCAGGTAGTAGCCAAATGGCATTGGCTAGTAGACGGAACCCGGAGGAGGCCAACCCTGTGTGATCTAATGGGTCTTTGGGAGGTAATTGGCAGCAGGCGGTCTCTCAACAGTCATAAGTATGAACTAGTTGCTAAGCATCTGAATTTTGATCACATGATCATGGGAAGCTACAAAGTTGTAACTTTAGAAAATGATCTGAAGTCATATTTTTCAGTGCTGCTATAACTGAACAGTCACTAAATGAACTGTTGTTAAGTCAAAGACTACCTGTATTCACTTATTTTAGTAAATTCAGTGATGTAATCTAAGCATGACCAAAGGGATTAATTAGTATGTTAGAATTAACTTTAGTGATTTTAAAACAAAATTAATATATCTGAAAGTTTAGTGTTTAGCTGTTCCATGCTAATCTAAAATAAACTGCTTAGGTAAATACATACCATATCAGTTAGTAATTTATTATGTTGCTTAACTTCTGTTCCAATTTCAATGGTAAGCTATGAGGAAAAAAGACATAGATGGTATATTACAATATATATATATGTGAGATAACAGCTTATTTAAGGCATTTTCCAGATGATCCTAAAAAAGTAGGAAATAGTATTAAGTAAGATAGCATTATTTTTTCAGTCATTTCATTCACTTTCAAATATGAAATCTCTCCCTTCTGTTATTTTTTTCCCTTATGTAGCAGGGAAAAACCTGGTGGTATTGCTACAGTTTTCTCTGCTCTCCAAAGCCCACGTTGTAAACTTTTAAATCTGTTATAATTCATATTTCTTTTCTGCTTAGTCTTTAGATAATATCTTTCTTTTTTTCAGCTTTTTATATGTTCCAATATTTTAAAGCCCATACTTCAGAACTACAGATCAGTCATGTTGAACAAAAATGATCAACTTGGCAGATGAAATTACATATGATGATTAATAATATACTAGCTAATTTGGGCAGTTAGATTACTATATACATCTCATTTATTTCTTATAGATTCTTTGAAAGATAATAATTCCGCATGGTTTGGTACTCAGATCAAGTGAGCCTTTGGGCTGCTCAAGGAAAGACATTTTCTTAGTCCAGTGGGTCTCAACCTTCCTAATGCCATGACCCTTTAATACAGTTCCTCATGTTGTGGTGACCCCAAACCATAAAATTATTTTATGTTTTCTGTATTTTTTCAAAAATAAAATATGGGTTTTCCGATGGTCTTAAGTGACCCCTGTGAAAGGGTCGTTTGACTCCCAAAAGGGTCCCGACCCACAGGTTGAGAACTGCTGTCTTAGTCCTTCAAGTGCTTTCATCTCACAGACTCTAATATATCAGCCAGAGGTAGCACTTAGCGCCCTATCTTGTTGCCCCAGCTCATCTCTGCCACACATGTATGTGCCTCCCAACAGCAGGCTGATCTTTGGGTCACTGCTGCGCAGGGGCGGGGCACATGTGCGAGGGGCACATTGCATTTTTGGGGGTTGTGCATATTCACATGCATGCATGCATGCATGCGTTCTTTGGGTCCAGAAAAGGTTTGCCCCCACTGTGTTAAAATAAGTAAAGAGTTAAGAGCAGGGAAGAATGTTGACAATACTTAAAAGTATAGAATTGACAGAGAGCCTGCAGATTTGATAGCTCAGCCCCATTTTTGCAGCCCCTCGATAATATACTTTAAAATCAGCTACAATCCTGAACATTAGCGATTCAATTTGTTTCATTTTAAAAATACATATTTAATTTGCTATTTGGCATTGAATCTTTTCCTGATTTCTTTAAAAATAGATCAAACATTTTGGCTTAGTTGCCTTCACCATATCACCCCCATTATGCCTTTTAAAGCACCCTCCATCCTGATATATAAACACTAAACAGGAACAAATCAGTAAAGAAACATGTAGTTTAAACCAGCTACACACTACTTATAAGATATTATAATCAACTCCGTCATTTCATGCTTTACAAATAAAGAAGTCCTCCAGGGCTACCATTGTTTTTCCAGCTGTGCATTTTCCATCTTGTGACAATCTGCTCTCTCCCCCTCCCCCCCCCAAATCTTTCTGAGTTTGATCAGTAATGAAGTCATCAGATCAGACAATACAATAATTAGTAGGAAATGAACTTGCAGGATTCATCTGAAAAACGATGTCAGAGTGAAGGTAGGTAGCTGAGAAAAAACATTCATGTAATTTGGCTGCTGTTTAAAAAAAATATAAATAAATAATGCTTTGAATTATTAGGAAGTGAATTATAAAATATCCAATATTAAAATTCTCTTACACAAATCCAAGATGAATCTGTTTGAACACTGTGTACACTTCTGGTCACAAAATATTTTTTTTAAAAAAATGGTTGTGCTGTTAAAAAAGGCATTAAAAAAACTACAGGTTGCTTAGTTCTTGCTTAACTATAATTGTTAATTGTTACTCCATCAATAAGCAAGACATCACAGGACTGCAACAAACGTATGTCAGCTTTTCCCATGGTTAAGTGAATCCCTATGGTCGCTAAGTGAGACATAATGTGACTAGGACAACTCTTATCTAGGCTTTTTTAAAGGCTTTCTCTAGATAAGAAGAGAAGATTGTCTTCTGATTTTTGGACTTGGATTTGTCCCCAGAGAATATTTCCAAACTGTCTTGTAATGTCACAAGTGAATGCAACCATAAATCATGGAATAAAGACAGAATCAATAAAAAATATAAATACATGGAGTCTTTGATTCTTTTCAGCTTTGTTGTATGCTTTGAAATGTTTCATTACCCAACTAAGTAACATCATCACTGCTAATGGGATTTGCTCCCTGCTTATATACAGTAACTTGCCCTGCTACTGTATATAAGTAGTATATACTGCTGTATTGATGGACTGTGATTTTTCTTCTTGGTATAGTTCCTTGAGCATTATTTTCTATTTGTTTTCCTTGCTTGTTTAGGTATTGATTGCTGGAAAGGATTCATTCTGATCTTGTTTCCTTCTTAGCTTTTTTATTGCCTCTTTTGAATGGTGAGATTAAGGAGTTTTCATTATGTCTTCTGATGGCTGGTTGATGTTCAGGGATGTGATCTAGTCTTTAGCCTGTCTGTCCTACATGGTGGCTGACAGACAGGAGGCTAGTAGAGGACATCCATAACAGGCAGGGTAATTTTGTATATAACCAGGGAGAAGATTTTGTATATAACCAGCGTGCAAACCCCACATTCATTCATCTTCATATTGATAACATTACCTAGTTAGGTAATGAAATGTCTGCAAATAAACAACCAAGCTCAATAAACACCAAGGACTCCACATTTCAATGATGAACTTTCCATTGGAAAAATATAATCAGGGTAGCCAGTTTTCAAAAACCTCTCTACTAACAGATCTCTGCTAGTTACCAGCTCAGACATCTTGAAAAAGCAATATGTTCTAGCTTTTTGCATGTAGACTAGAGACAGACATACATTTGGGGGGCGGGGGCGGGGTAGAGTCAAGAAGACTCCACACACTTCTGACTGATTAGATTATTTTCTAAGACAATCGATACACTTGCATGCACTGAAATGTGGCCATTAGCTGAAAAAAAATGCTATCTCTGATGATAGTGATTTATTCTTATTCCTGCTTAAAATATCTGTCTTGTCCCTTTAAATTAAACTGATGCTAAAACGTCTTGGAAGGAAGGAAAGCATACCCCTCTCTCTCTTTCTCTCTCTCTCTCCCTCCCTCCCTCTCTCTCTCCCTCTTTTTTTTGCCACACTGAGGCCTAAACCATAAAGACATAGCAAATGAACTGGCAAATGAGGATGTGCAAATTGCCAGCTTTGCTTATAGAGTCCAGACTAGACAACTGGGCTGGTTTGGTTTGATTTTCAGTTATAATTATTTATTTAACAGAACAAATTTAACTTTGTGGCTTATAAGTAGACTGACTTACTAATCTTTGCTGATTTATCATTCCCTTAGAAACACAATTCTTAGTCACAGTGCCAAACAAGAAAACCTACTGCCTGTTCCAGCTTGTAACTAATACATTGATTAGCCAAAAAGGGCAACTGAAACTCAAATCCAATTATAGGTAGAATCTATTCTATGAACAAATGTACCAGGCTCTTTGATGGGCAACATGATGCCTCAATTCAATTAAACTGTTGCTATACATGGATAATCCAACCATTATGTACTCCAATCAATTTGAATGATGCTGGTATAATGACATACTTACAGATTTTATGGTGGTGACTTTTGAACGCAAACTTTCTGTTAACTTTTCATTTTCTTCCTCATATACACTATAGCCGCTATTGGTATAACCATAATTGCTGCCAGCAGCTCCTTCACCTGGGGGGGAAAAACAATCAAAGCACCAGAAATTCAGATGGGAAAATATAGATTCTGGAGGGGAAGAACAGTTTAGTTTTATTAAATCATCCTCTGTTTTAAAAGAACAAGCAAGTAAGGTCATAATAGGAACAACCTAAACTTTTCATAATCTAAAATTGAACAGGGTCAAAGAAATAAATAAGGGAAGAAGGAAGACATACAAATGTGATTAATTCATGTTACTCTCAGAGTCTTTCAGTCTGCAGTCCAATCCAATGGGTTGCAAAGAAAATTCAGTATCCAAATCCATCGTCTTAAAAAAATAACTGAACTGGAGTATCGAAAGTTTCCATGTCCTGTTTACAGTTTTCTAAAGAAAATACATTAAAGTCTATCTCTCTTCCCCCTTTTTTGATTTTCTGAGTGGGGTGTACATATCTGGATCATCTATTCAATTGGATCTGTTATTTTCTTTCTTCTTGCACTTCATGCCAATACAAAATCAAATACATCATCTTCCCTAAGTATTAGGTTCTACTCTTTAAAACTTAGCAATTGTCCCTTAGAAATTGTTCCTTGCCTTTTTCTTCAATAAGAATAGGCAGTTAGTCTTTAAGTCTACCAATTAAAAAACTTTATAATTGGGTAATTTTGGATCACCTGCTCCCAGTGGTATCTGACTATGTGATAACATTTTGCAAGGGAGAGCTGCTTTTAGACCCCTATTTCGCATTAGGAACCACATGGATGGGTCTTCTCTGTGCCATCATTTTTGGGTTAGAATACAATGATAATATTTTGCATCATTTTAGTCCACAATCGGGACTAAGATTCTAGTCCCAATTATGATCATAATCCAAGCACTACCTGTATTATTTTTATAAGTAACTGAAGGGGGTCAAACGTATCTTCCTCTTGCTATATTTCCCACAACAATGCTGAGAAGTGGCTGAGAAAGAGTAACTGGCCCAAACTCAAACAGCTGTCTTTCACACCTAAAGTGAGACTAAGATTCGTTGTCACCTGGTTTCTAGACATATTCACCTTAACCACAAGATTAAACTGGCTCTCTGCCTCTTTGCAATTTTTATAAAGAAAAATTCAAGAGTAAAACCAAGAAAATAATTAAATTTAACTGAATTTAAATTTAAATCTAATGGTTATAAAATTAATGGAGGCTAACATCCATTCTTCGGGTGCTTAGGAAGAACCATTAAGATGCGGCTATTGAAAAAGGCTTCTTGCTGAAATAATTGAATGTCTCTTCTAATAAGTTAACGTTACAGGGACTTTTAGCTTGTACTTAGTGTGGGTTGATGACGTAATATTATATTGTACTGTTTAAATCTTTTTCTTGTAAACGGGAATGTAAGTTGTTTAAAGTCAGGTTCAGCTGAAGCTGCCTCTAAGTATAAATATTCACACTTACTCAGTTGGGTAACTAATTATTTCATTTATTTAAAACATGTATGCCACTTCCTGGTTAAAAATAATCTTGAAGTGACATACATAGAAAGCTACAGGAGTCAAAGCATTACAGATTGTCCTCATTTAGCAACTGCAACTCAGTTACTAAGTAATCACTAAGTGATAAAACATGTAACCATGACTATGCTTACGATTTTATTTTAGCTTTCCTTCTGTTGCAGCAAAAGTTGTAAATGGTCAGAGTTACTTTTTCATCTCCATCAGACATCACTGTCTAATTGCTAAAAGAGGATTACCTGTACAGTACAATATGACAATTATTTATATAGGGAATACAGAAGCCAAACAAAACACACTCTAAGTATAATTTAGAGCAATTGCTGACTAATTTAAGTCTTTGATTTTATGATGCACTTTTAATAAAACATCAATTTAAAATCCAGTATTAAAGGCACTTTTGGAAGCAACTATCATACTATCAATAGTAAAGTAAAGCATATTCTTGAAAGATAGCTATGAGCTAAAATAATGTTAGATTATATTCAAAAAAAACTTGAACTGATCAATTTATCAAGAAATTTCCAATATATTTTGCTTGGACTGTTGCAAAGAAAGTGACTTTTTATTCTTGAATAAAAAATTATGATCCAGATACTAATAATTCATTTAAATAAGGTGCTAGCTTTTTCCTTTGAATTGGTTTGTTTCCACATATATGTAGGATTGGACAATAGAGGCCTAAATTTAATTTACTGTTGAAAAATTACATTTGCAATTATTTGTATAAATGCAAAATTAAGATTTGAAATTGTTTTCTAAGCATTGATGTTTGTGGAAAATTTTACAATTTGCATTTTGCATTTTACTACCGTATTTTTCAGACTATAATACACACCTTCCCCCACCCCAAAAAGAGGATGAAAATCTGGGTGCGTCTTATACACAGAATACAACAATTTTTGCCTCCCCAAACCCCACCCCTTTACAAAAATTGACGTGCAGAGGGCTTGCAAAGTGCTCCTGGGGGCTGGGGAAGGCAAAAATGAATGAAAAATGGGCCATTTTTTGCTCATTTTTGCCTTCCCACCTCCCAGCAGCACTTTGCAGGCCTCTCAACCTCTGCATGCTCCATTTTTCACAAAAAATGAGGCATGCAGAGGGTTTGTGAGGTCTGCAGAGTGCAAAAACTTTTTTAAAAAAATGTACCTCTTCAAAATCTTGGTGTGTCTTATACTCTGGTACATGTTATATTCTGAAAAATACGGTATTTAATTTTTATCCTTTCTCCTCCCAGTTACTTTTTAAATATTATTTTTGGTTCCTTTTAGTGAATTGCTTTTCCTGATATATTTTTTCTTTGCTTTTTAAAATTAGCCTTGTGTAGTTTTTTATTTTTATATACACTCTTGTAATGTTTTAAAATACAATTCAATTAAAATACATTATAAGGTAAAAGGTAAGATAAAGGAGTCCCTGAGGATTTTACTCCATTAGTTGTTGCCAACTCTAAGGGGCAATGCTAATCTCCATTTCAGGGGTCATTAAGCCAGAGTTGTTTGAAGACATTCCCATCATTATGTGTCCAGTATGAAATCACAGAGCACTGTTATCTTCCCACCAAAATGGTACCTATTTATCTACTCACATATGCATGCTTTCAAACTGCTAGGTTGACAGATGCTACAAGGAAGGACAGACAGGCGCTCAACCTATTATGTGATGCTAAGATCTCAAACCCAGGCTGCCATCTTAATTGCTCAGCTATCGCAACATCGCAAAAATTTATGTAGCAAATTTGGTTAAAAAAAATACCCTACGTATTAGGTCTATCCTACATTTGGGTGATTGCCGTGAAATAATAATTTGCTGCCATTTAGTGATAGCCTAAGAAATATACTATTTAATAATTTATTTATTTACACACACACAGACACACACACAAAATAAGTCATTTGTCATTAAATTTATTTTGGAGAACAACTCACAAAGTTTTAATAATTTTTTTCTATAGTTTTTAAGGTGCTACAATACACTATTAAATGCCACTTTGATTACGTGGGCATGATCCACAAAAACCTGTGGATATAAATCTGTTAAGTTTTTAAAAGGCTACAAAACTTTTCTTCAACCACGCCATCCTCCAAACTAATATGGCTAGCTCATTTAGAAACAAAATACTTACTGTATTTTTCAGAGTATAAGATGCACCTTTTTTCTTCAAAAAAGGGGCTAAAAATCTGGCTGTGTCTTATACGTCGAATACAGCATTTTTTGTCTCCCCAAATCCCGCCCTTCACCAAAATGGTTGTGCATACCCTAATGGAGGCTTTCAGAGAGCTTCTGGGCACCGGGGAGGGCAGAAATGAGCAAAAAATGGGTCAGTTTTTTGCCTCACCAACCCCCAGCAGCACTCTATAAGCCTCTATAAGGCTACGCATGCAAAAAAAATTGACAAAAAATGGGCCTGTTTTCATGAAAAATCGGCCATTTTTTGCTCATTTTTGCCCCACTCTGCAAGCCCCTCCAAGGCTATTCATGCCTTTTTAAAAAATGAGCCCGTTTTTGCAAAAAATGCAAAAACTTTTTTTTCTCCTTTCGGAAAGCTCTTTAACTGATTGAAGAGAATTACATTGATCAAGTGCTATGCCAGCAGAAACAAAGTCTTAGGTGCTGCAGATTGTCAGTTATTTCCTTCTCCAGCACATGGATAAATACACCTGGAAACATCTATCTACCTACCTACTCTCACCCCCTACCTATCTACTGTATTTTTCTCTCTCCCTGCTCTGTCTACCTACTTACCTACCTACTCTCTCTTTCTCTCTCTCCCTACCTATCTACTGTATTTCTCTCTCCCTCTCTATTTCTCTTTCTCTCTCTCTCTGTCCCTCTACCTACCTACCTACACACAGTCTCTCCCTCCCTACCTATCTACTGTATTTCTCTATCTCTCTATCTCTATTTCTCTCTCTCTATCCCTTTATCTACCTACCTACCTACCTACCTACTCTCTCTCTCTCTCCCTACCTACTGTATTTTTCTCTCTTTCTCTCCCTCTCTCTCCCTCTATCTACATACCTACTTTTTTTAAAAAAAATCCTCTTCAAAACCTTGGTGCGTCTTATACTCCAGTGCATCTTATACTCTGAAAAATATGGTAACTTTTTGAATTAAAAATATAATTTAAGTATTAGAAATAAAGGTTATATTTTGTTGCAACCAAATCATGTCAAATGTTCCTTATATTTGTGACCCATTGTTTCTTCTTTGAAAAACATAATGATTTTACAAGCATACTAATTTCACAAACAGAATTAAGCTTTTCCATCATTAACAGGGATGTAAATTTTAACAACTGGGCTATAATTAGAAAACAGGCCAGGGCACTTGCTAAAATCTATTAATATAGAGTTAATTTTAATAAATTAGAAATATATACATACGGTATATATTCAAAAATATCTCTTAAGTTTAAAATAGATATAGAAAATTTGCAGCCAGGGTCCTATCAACATCACTAGGTCATGACTATAATCTCTAATCTCTAGTTTCTCTGAAACTACAACATAAGGTTTTGACTGCTTAAAAAA